CTAGAAATCCGTCCCTCATATTAACGAATAAGCCGCGCTTCTGCGCAGTGCAGTTTTCCTGTTCCCCGTACAGTTGTAAAGCAACATCCTCATTGATTCTACCATATACTGTTGCGGGTGAAGAAAGTCTTTGGGTACACGATACTTGAAACAAGTCTAGCACTGTACGTTGTGGTTCAACACCCATTAATGTCGTCGTCCTTATAGAGCCTCATCATTTAATCATTACCTCGTCACCTCATATTGCTCTTCATCAACAGAAAGTAAAATAGGCTACCCTCACATTACAATCCAAGAATTGAAAAATTAAGTCGTTCAGTCCTTCAACCAGTTTATAATTTATATAATGTTATTACGTTACATTACCTCGAGACGATCGACGTCCATTGTCGATCTTCAAATACGTATACCTGTATATAAATTAGACGCACAAGGGGGGGTTGGTTGCCGAGTGCATCGTCTAGCGCACACTGAAGTCACTGGGTCCTGGGAAAGTAGCGCCATTGCCTTCCCTACGTGCTAGCCGGGCACAAACAGATACTAACATACACACGACCCAAACCTCGCAAGGCGATTGGCTAATTGTTCTAGGCTGCCATGGAAATCGCCATCTTGGTCCATTTAAATCTTCGAAGCCTCCAGGGGGTTGTTCTAAACCAGTCGCGCCAAGATCACCATGGAGCATCATCGTACTGGAAGCGTTCCCCACCAATTTAAGAGTCTTTGGCACTTCGTATGCGATCAACTTATTAATCATGCATATCTCCATGGATCTCTTACTATTTTATTGTTCATCTGGCGTATTTCAAGAGAGTAAACTTATTTTTCAGTGCCTCCAAGCACCGGCCCAGCATGTGGTGGTGGTACAAATATGTGCGCCTGTTTCGCCGGTGTGTGGATAGCAAACTCTCGGTATACAATAAACGCCTCCATAAAGCTACCCGTCACCAGCGAATTTAGATAGGCTCACCAAGAACGAATTAAGTGGTCAAGGAGAAATTGCTCATTTCACGGACCAAGATGGCGACCACACGGGCAGCTTGGCGTTACTTTCCCAGGATCCAGTGACTTTAGCGCACACCAGCTCGGAGCACTGTGAGCGAAAGCTCGCGCTGCAGAACCCACCCCGCCTCTGCCCGTTTCGATCTGGAAGAGCATCGTACCGGCGTGCGGTCGTGCATCACTACTGCGTGGCGCACGTTGAAGACCCCAGGTTTTCGGTTTTACCGCACTGGCTAAATTGCTCATCTACAGCTGAGACACCAGACGCCCACTAAGGCAGACTAACTTCCGGCTGAATAAACATACACACAACAATTTGCAATTAGACGCATAATAACAAAAAACACAGTGTGCCGCCTCTTTTCTTTGGATGCCTTTTTTTCTAAACCAGCGCAAGCTCGTGCGTTTTCTCTTTTGAGACGGTTAGAACGGTCGCACATAAAACCCGCGTTTCTCCTACCCGCCCGCGTCCTCCTCTCATTATGTGTATTTGGTTATAACTAAATAAGCTATAATAATGGTGTATTATTCATATTTACTTTCAGTTTCAATCAGGGAAAAGGAGTTTCGCGGCAACTACAGCCAATAAATGAGCTGCGCTTAGAGTATCGGCACTCCCTTCCCCGACAGTGTTGTGAACGCCGCCATTTTGGTGCTTGTGCAGAGCAGGCGCAACTGCCGATCGTCATGATTCAAAAGTGCGACTCGTCAGCATTAGATTCGGTGTTAGGAAGCTCATGTAATTTTGCTTTGCTTTGTCGCAAACTGTTTAAAGTGGGGGACGGAAAAGCGTTTCTTGTGATTTCAGATAAAGCTTCAAATAACTGGCAACCATAATTTTAAGCCATACTAAGGCCAAGCGTGGCTACTCTGAAGCGTAGCTTGTTTAATAACACTATTCATGCTCTTGTTCAAGACGCTTGTAATACCTAGGGTGCCTCAATGTCCTTCTGTTTAGGGTGATGCCACCCTCTGTAGTACCCGATGCCGACAGCACGCGCTCACGGGGAAAATACAAAAAAAATCGACGAAAACAAAATGTCGCCATAGCACAATCAGCACCACGAGCGCGTGCAGGGACACGCTCTTTCACGCGCTTCTGATCAAAAAATAAAAATAAAAGAGGGGGACAAAATGGCCAGATGTCGTGCTCCACCCTAAGCAAAGGGCACATGAAGTGCTCCACCCAGTAATACCTGGAGGGGCCATATCGTAAGCCCCGTGGATTCCACAAGCCACTACCTTTTGACACCTGCTTCTTCTTCATTGTTCCCGCTTGTGCCAGTAAATTAGCTACGGTTCAGAGTAACGACACTTGGCCATATTGTGGCTTAAAATCATGGTTGCCAGTTATATGAAGCTTTATCTAAAATCACAGGAAACGCTTTTCTTTCCTCACAAATGTTTAAACAACCCGCGACAGAGCATTGCAATATTGCATCAGCTTCCTAGCACCGCATCTAATGCGGTGGAAGTCGTACTTTTAGATCACGATGATCGGCAGTTGCGTTTGCTCTGAGCAAGACCCGAAATGGCGGCGCCCAAAACAATTTTGGGGAACGGAGTGCCGATACTTTAAAGCTCATTTAGTGACTCTAGGCATAAAGTGAACTCGGGTGTATTCTTTTCCTCTTCGTCTTCATTGTTTATTGATTTCAATCATATCGAATAATGAACACATTATATCACGCTACGCTTCTGTAAATATTGGTCTTAGATTTATTAGCCTGACCCAGTACTTAAACCATTCAGTTATCGATAGTAAATCTTCCAATATATTTTTTAAATGTGAGGGTAAAAGGACACGGAGATTGATGATGATACAGACGCCAACGCCGCCCTCGGAAATTTTTTGAACATTAGAAATCAGCAGTTTGTCTGCCATCCGCCAGGTAGCGCAACAAAACACCCAAACAGTTTTAAATGTTTTTAAAATTAGTTAAGCTCTACACCTATTAAGAAACCAAAGCAATATCATTGTGAAAATTTAATACATCGCAATGTATATCTATTCCAAACTATAAATGTTATTAAATGCCAATAAATCTGTTTGATGTCCAAAACAGATATGCGTCAAAAACAGGTAAGTTTGAAGGGCTCCTGGAGCGTTATGACTTTGAAAATGAAAAAAAGCCATCGTCCACCTCTTGGGCAACCATTGTAGCTCTAAATTTTATAAAAGATATTATCATAGTTTAATTATTTCTTCAGCGGCATTTGAACTACCATGACACGAAGCACAAAAAAGTGCTACGTTTGATATAAAATATCTAAACAAAAAAAATTTACACAACATTAAATTTTTTTCTGCATATTACCAATTATAAGCACTACATCTGTAGCCAATTTCATTGCCCTAGCTCTTGCCATTAAAAACATATTTGTGCGGAAAAATGTCAATTTTAGGGCAATATTTGGAGGGATGAAAAAAAACAAAGTAGTGCAAATATCAAAAAAGTGGATCGTTAGATTCTGCTCCGACATCATCTTAACAAAACTGCTATATTGGAACCGTGCTATCTTTAATGGATCGTTCATAAAACATGAACTAGCCGAGCAAGTGAGGGTCCGCGCCATCATATTCGCAACGCTACAAATGCGCATGAACAGTAAAAACCAACACATACATAATATCAAATGAAAGAGGATTGCATTGCCTTTCAAATGACATCAATCCCAAAAAGCAGTATTTAAAAGGAGATGAGTAATGGCCTGCCGAAAAGTACCTAAATTGCCACATTCAGTGGGACCGTGGCCTTAAGGCCGGTTCAGACACTTGCGTTTGAGTGCGTTTGACTGCGTTGCGTCGAGAAGCGAAAGCGAGTCACCGGCACATCTGTGCTTCATATGAAGCGTGCAACCCAATTCAAAGAATCATCTTAGCACGCGATATATGTAGCAGGGATGTCCTGGTTTCTCGCTGCCGCAACGCAGTCAAACGCAGTCAAACGCAACTGTCTGAACCAGGCTTTAGAGCGACGAACTGGTATCCCGTTAACCAGACGAAAGTGACACCCTCCTGGCTGCCGCCATGTTGTACAATTTTGACCACTAGACATGTGACCGTACCAAATACTGAGGCTTTTACGCAAAACTGAGCCGAGATTTGTATTATTCCGATCGTTGTAAAAAACATTATAAACTAATTTTCAGCTAATGTTAGCCCCCAGAGATCAGTGTCGAGCTCCGACAAAAACCCGAAATATAGGACCGCGTCTGACGGCATCCAACGGAGTCCTCTCGACGCTGTCCGGTTTTTTTTTTTCTCGAAAGCTCATTTTGGACTTAAAACGAACTAAACATAACTCACCTGTTCGGTACTTTTATTAAAGATCAAAGCAATTATGTGTTCGCGGTACTTCGTTAAAACCTAGACGTAAAACTATGAGCTCACGTGTCTAGTGATAAAAAAATGTGCAACATGGTGGCGGCCGGGCGGGGGTCATTTTCAGCTGCCAGTTTATCGCTCTAATCCCCTCTACCTCGTTGGAGCAGACGAACATGCACGTGGTAAAGTGTGGGCTGCGGTCGAATTTCAAGTGTAACGGGGTATCGTCTACCTGCGAATGGAAGTCACCACTACTGTCGAGAGTCGAGACTGGTTACAACGAAGTAAACGGTAATCGGAAAGCACATCGCTATAGCCCCTATTTCGTTATAAACGACTTCGGTTAACGAAGTGCAGAGGGAATGGGAAATCGTAATCGCTTCGCTGTAGCCGCTATTTAGTTATAACACTTCGTTTCAGCTTAAGTCCAGACGCAGCCAACGCAACGAGTTAATGGTACCAATCAAGCAGGGTCAAAAGCGCAAGTCACTGTACCTTCCTTGTCATGATTGGTCCAGCGACGATAGAACACGTACATAAACATGACGAACACCACGACGGTGCTCTTTTGACGCCGTCTGCTTGGTTCCGTGAGCTCGCCAAGCGTGGGCTGCGTCTGGATTAAAGATGAAATGAAGTCTAGATTGTGGCGAAATTCCGCTCTGCCTACCAGTATCCTGCGGACGTTGACCCTACGCAGGCATCCGACGACCTGCCGCCCGTGCGTGTGCACGGACATGTTGCCGGTCGCGCAACCCGTCCTGAAGGCCAGTTCGTCGGCGGCCTGCAGGCTGCTGTTGACGCGCGCTATCATGGGCACGCAGGGGCTGCCGCTCTGGAGGATCGCCACTTGAATCAAGTGGCTTGCTATGGGCGACGTGAGCTGCGGGAAGAAAGAAGAGGACGACAGCCCTGGTAACGTTTTGAAACGGTAATAGAGCGCAATGTTAAGTAAGTAGAAAAAAAAATTGTATGGAAAATTGCTGGGCATTTGTGTTGGATACGTGAAACGTTCTAGCATCATATAACATCATTTCACGTGACCTATACATCAATTGAACTTCCCTGCTAAATTTAGCGGAGAAACATAATTGGTGTGAAGGCCTGCGACGTACCATAACGGACGACTACCACGCGTTGCATTATGGGACAACACAAACCTAAACACGAATTCAACTTCCCCGCTAAATTTAGGTGAGAAACTGAATCTGTGTGTTGGTCTGAGGTCCCGTAATGCAACACTGCGCGCGTTGCATTATGGAAGGTCACATGCCGCGCCTCAACGAAATACGGCTTTACGCAATCCGTAGCAACTAGCCAAAGAAAGTTTAACGTTAAAAACGAATTTTCGAATAATAAGAAAAATATTCAGCGGATGACATACTCCTTCCCGTGGCAGTTATCTAGTTCAAAACCACGAATCATTGTCTTTTTTTGTGGCCAGCGTTTAAATTCGGTAGCATTTCTGGGCCCACCAAACTGTGAGATTGCATGCGGCCATTCGTAAACACCTCCGTAGCTAAACTTAGCGATAACACATGAATTGGCGTATATTTTTCTCAGCGTTAGTCCATGTGACATGTGGCAATGCGTCCTAATGTGGCACTACGTCACATGATTTCGACGGCACATACGTCACGTCACAAGGCCACATGACGTGACGTCACAGTACCACGTGATGTCACGTAACGTCACCGTCACACTTGTATAACGTCGCAAACTTAGTTTCTGGTCGTTAAATGCGGACGATCGAGAGTCAGAACTACCATTAGTCCAATGGACATGGCTCCGGCACTGCTTCCGAAGGCCGTGATTCTGGACGGGTCCCCTCCGAAAGACTTGATGTTGCGGCGAACCCAGAGCAGGGCCAGGTGCATGTCGTGAATGCCCATGTTGCCAGGAACGTCGTCGTTGTGGGCGTGGAGGAAACCAAAGGCTCCGAGTCGGTAGTTCATCTTGACGATGACCACGTCGCCCATAGATGCCATATACCTGGGACATTTGAGTGAGACCATGGTATTAGCCTGCATGGTGCCTGCAACACTTCTCCCAAAGGTGTATTTACCAAGTCATAAAATGTAATCTCTCGATTTCCGTGTTATCAAATCAAATCAAATTAAGTTTTATTTGTTGTCACATCTCCTGACTTAGGACAAAAAGCTGCTGAGTTGCAGCTTGACGAAGGTCCCAGCCCCCGTGCAGTTCGGGACAGCAAAAAGGTAAATAAAAAAAACACACACACACCCAAAAACAATTAAATATTACATAAATGTAGACACATTTTATACAAATGTTTGATGTAATGAGCACTTTAGGCAAAAAAAGAAGAAAACAACAACTCAATACCCGACAATAAACCACGAGAGCGGTCAGCAAATACACAAAGAAAGCACACAGGATAAAAACAATGCCAGTATTAAAAACGTCACAGAGAAAAAAATCAAATTTACTAACCCTTTATGTGAAAGTGACTCTAAATTTAAACTCTTTTTGTACAGAGTGTTTAGTGTGGTGGACAAATTAAGATGGAGCGTCTGATCAAGGTAATTTTTGCGGGATGGACGGATTACCCAGGGCTGATTTAGCCTAAGGTCGCGCAGGACGATGCGATGTTTCAGGTTAGCTAAGTGAATGTAATGAACGTTGTTTTGGGCTGAACAGCCCTACAATACGTTGTTAAAAGTTTGAACGCATATATTTGCTGAATTGTTTTTATTTTTAGGGCCTTAAATAATGATGCAGTGGGATGGAGAGAGGGAACAGAAGATATTGCACGTACAGCCCTTTTTTGTAAAAGGTGCAACTTTCTCAGGTTTGTTTTGGTTGGGGTGCCCCAAATAAGGTTGCAGTAATTTAAATGGGAACAAACGAACGATTTATAAATAGTTAATTTAATATGAGCAGGAAGTATTGTTTTAAACTCTGTTTTAGGCCAACGCTCTTGGATAACTTTGCTTGGAAGTAATCTGTACGAGCATTCCAGCTCATGTCTTGTACAAACAACACACTCAGTATTTTAATATAGTTTGCAAATTCAATTTGTTCATTATTGCTTTTAAGACAGAGTGGATTGTTTACCCTTTCATTTCTAGGTTTAAACATAATAGCCTTGGTCATAGAAGCCTCATGTCTCCGGCCGCAATCCTGGCGGTGTCCTAGCAGCGGTGGTAGAATTAGCAGTTTGCAGCCCGTTTTGCTGAAGGTCACTCTTCAGCTTGACAGTCCGTTTAGCAGCCCGTTTTGCTGAAGGTCACTCTTCAGCTTGACAGTCCGTTTAGCAGCCCGTTTCGCTGAAGGTCACTCTTCAGCTTAACAGTCCGTTTAGCAGCCCGTTTTGCTGAAGGTCACTCTTCAGCTTGACAGTCCGTTTAGCAGCCCGTTTTTCTGAAGGTCACTCTTCAGCTTGACAGTCCACGGACGCTTCAGCAGCCAGAAGTTGGGATTAGGCGACGACAGCGAAACTTGCGTTCGCTCGTACTTTTTGGCCGGACTCCCATAATCGGTGTCAGATTAAGAAAAAAAAAAAACAAAAAAAAAACGGTAAATACCGCACGAAGAGACAGGTATTGCTACTCCAGCCGATCTGGTCCAAGCGTTTTTGTAACGACACAATTTTATGAACCAATCCCGTTTTTTTTTTTAACAAATATTTTCAACATGGCAGTCTCGACCTAGCAACCAGACGCCAACTTCTCGCGGTGATAATCCTGCTTTTTGCCACGGTATTTTTTGCGTACCGAGTTTACGCCGCAAAGTGTAAACGGGGTTGGCTTGTGTTTGCAGTACTTCCTGCGCGATGACGTGAGGATCTAGAGAAAAGGTCGACGTGGGAACAAGGCTTAGCTCCGCTTGGACGTTGCGAAGAACGTCATCTGTATTTTTTTTTCTCTTCGTTGGATTTTTGTAGCCCCTGCCTCATGTTGTCTCTCAATATAGTTCCAATGTCTCCACCTTTCTTCGCTGTGGATTCAGTCAGGCGAGGTGAAAATGCTGCGGCCATCGGTCACTCATGAGAGTGTACTCTGCATGAGACGGGCCTCAGTGAACTGCCAGCGCAGCCAGGACCGAGTTGCTTCACCAGACGTAGTCCGCAACTTTGGTGGTGCTGCAGTGGATTATTAAATGAAGTCTGCCCACTGAAACGACGTCTAGACAACAGTGTTCATTCATGTATAAAACGTGGCACACTCGAAAAGTTTACGTCGCGATCAGTCACATGGTAAGCATAACCCTCGGATTCATCATCGGTCAAAATAACGAGCTGTTGCATACATGTAGCAATGATAAAGCCATTGATATGTACGATGCAAACCTTTCTCCGATGTCGTTTTGAACACGAAAGAGTTGATTTTTTACAGCGGAGCGGTTAAGGGCTAGTTTCCTCAGGATTGTGGCCGCCAGTAAATAAATGTTGACACAACACGCCGGGCAGCTACTGCCATCTATAAGCAACGACGGCAACCAGACAACCAGCTTGCCGGTTGTCTAGTTGCCGCCGTCGCTCATGGGTGGCGGCAAAATTTCCAGCCTTTCCATTCTGGCTTGCCGACTTGCGGCCGGCCATTACTTCATTCCCACCGTAGTACAGCATCGCTGGTTTTCCTTCTTCACTAGAGTGGAAAGGCTGCAAGATTTTTTTTTTTTTATATATACTCTTCCAAAAAGATTATAAAATATTTACAGCGCCAATAAAACGGAGGATAGAAAAACGAGGTACACAGACAGAGGGCAAAATTTCACTTTCCAAATCTTGAGAATCTTGGAAAGGAGACTGGGCTCTCAACAGTTCTTTCAGACATGCCTGTTTTCATTGTGCATGTCAGTCGTGTGAATGATTATAGGGGTCCTGTTTATGCTACAGAACAGCGCTGTTCTGAGTTGATGAAGTTGATGACATTATTAGCCAGGCAAGTTGGTTGTTATTGGACATACTAAAACCCGAGCCTGAGGCGACAAAATGGTGTGAAACGCAGCTTTGTATTTGAGACGTGTTTGAGTTGTGTTCGAGACTAGACGTGTGGTGTTTGTCACCCTTTCTGCTTCCCCCGTCTCGGGTTTCTGTATGTCGGACTATTTCGAAGCACAAGAGATGCACTAATTGACCCCCTTTCTGTTGCCTCCGTCTCGGGTTTCAGTATTTCGGACTATTTCGAAGCACAAGGGTTGCACTAATTACACAACACCTACAATTAAAAGACTGCAAAAGGAACAGATACTATGAAGCATGCCCGAACCGATTGTCATTAACGGCCAAATGGCAGTGCTATTAGCAGCTACTTTTCTCAGACGCAGCTGAGCACTAAACGCCTGAGCAACTCAAACCATCAAGTGGTCGCTTTCAAAGTCCGGCTAGCAGAGCACTCTGTGACATTTGTCTAGGTACACTGGAGTCCGGACCAACACGGTGGCCAGAACGTGGACAATTAACTAAATCACCTATCAAACTGATACCACGTGTAAGGAAACTATTGTTACTAGTAGTAAGCTTAATACTTTCCGTCCGATGTGGGGTTGCACTAGGGACAGTCGGAGGGGCACCAGCATCCTCAACGCCATGCAGGTGGCAAGGATGGAGCTCTTCGATGACTTTAATATCCCTACCTGTGTTCTGGTGCAAGTTCATAAATGGACATAATACCAGACCTGACATAGGCCTCTCCAAATCTTCGAACGAAAGCTGAGTGGACCCCGATACACTCCTAGGATGTGGCCACCTACCCATCAGGATCTCATTGAAAGCACTACAATCTCAGCCGCCTAAGCTCACTGCACGATTCGTGGAATGAGATGACTTCCGAACAGCACTCAAGAGGGAGGATTCTCCGATTCCGCTCATCTGGCGCATCCCGCGGGCCCTGCAGAAGGCGACCCAGTTGGTCTGGGTGCGAGAATAGATTCTAAACCTTGATATGCACTTCCTAAACCTCCGTGTCCAGTGCCAATAGTCAGGCAGTTGCGCTGTGCCCCAAATCAACTCTCTGACGTCGCACCGCGGCGGTGGCGCTGCTGTTGGCATTGCGCATGCGCAGACTGTTCATCTCAAGCGAACCAAGCGAACCTAGTTTATGCTCACGCACAGTTCGTGGACTTGTTCGTAGACATTGTGTTGGCCTATACATTGCTTGCGCTGACGTCACTCATTCGGGCATAATGGGGGAAAGGGCGCGTGAGAGGCTAGCTTCCGCCGCGTTAACGCAACACCACCGAAGGCCGCATGCGCTCCTCCAGTGACGTCACACGAGTCGGCGGGTGAATGATGGTGAACGTAAATGGCAAGGACAGGATCGCACATCAGTGCTGGCCTCGTCCGGTTCTCGTCATTTATGTAATTCTCCTCCAACACAGTAACTTTACCAGTACTCTCCACCTCCACGAGCGAGAAAGATGGTTTTTCGTTTTTGCGCATGCGCGTCTAAAGTTTTGCGAACAAACTTCACAATATCTGTAGCTACAGCGTTGAAAAAGAAGAAGCCTGTAGAACTTATTCTGTTATGTCACTGTATCACCTTTAGAAGCTATCGTTTTTTCATTTTGGTAGTTTCACCGAAAGCAATGTGTTTATTCGTCGAAAATGAAAACTGAAGACCTCTTCGAAAAAGGTGCAAGTTGCGTCGAGTCCCACCTGCAGAGTGTGCTGCTGGTCGCCGAGTAGACTTCCCTTGGACCAAAGCGTGATATTGACAGGATATATCATAAAACTTAGACTGGTGACCCGGACGGTATAATATATGACAATCGTAAAGAGTGTGGGTAAGAGAAACGAGCCCGGAGGAACAGCAATGCCGTTGCTGGTAACAGGGCACTTTGTGGCTCCAACTCGAACTGGGTATCGTCAGCCTTACACAAACGCTTTGATGAAGTGAAGAGGTCTTCCGCAGAGCCCTGGGTATTGAGTTCCCTGGACCACCGAGTGTAAAAAAAAGTGAATCGAACACCTCCTTCACACCAATGGCACCCACGATGCGGTGTTTGCAGGAGGATTCTTTGCCGAG